GAGCCTCTCACACAAACCACCCACATCGCCAAGAAAATCGCGGATGTTTCGAGTTTTCTTTAAATCATCGGCAACCATCAAACGCACTATCCAACGATGAAATTAACGAAATAAGCAGCACCAGGAAAGGAGAAATCCCTCCGTTCCAAAAGCGTCCGAAGTGCGATCAAGAGGTGCGATTGTACGTCGACCCTTGTTATCCGCAGATCATTAACTAAGACCAAGTGCCTGGTTAGAACGCGTTATATTAGCAAAGCTTTCATTATTATTGCATTGTATATAGTCTGTACTATACTCTAACTAAACCAATATTATACACAAATATTCAATACAAATTTTTCATCCCACAACCACTCGTAACTACCCCCAACGAACAAAAACACCACCATCGTGATCCCCGTCGTTTCCGGTTTTTTGGTGATTTCGATATTGCGAGCAGGGTAGTTTTAACCCTGGAGTTTGCCAAGGTCAACTGTACTTTAGAAATATGTACTTAAAAACTGGAAATTGGGGTTGTTTCTCCAGGATGGGGGTAGTATGCAAGGATTTCAGTCTACTACAACTACCCCAAGTTTAATCAATCTACCTAAAAACATTTTTAAATCCCAAAAATTCCAAAAACCAGTGGTTTTAGTCTTAGATTCAATGAGACCATTTGGCTTAAAATGATCCTCGAAACACACCCTTGAAGCCCCGACATGATCATAAAAAACACCCTGCTTAACCGCAGTGCTTTCAATTTTCGATTTTTTACGTTTTCTCGACCGTTCCGTACGTCAACGCGTACTCGACAGACCCGGTCGATCCCTCCTGCCTTCTGGGCAGGGCGTACAAAGTAATGTAAGTAGTTCGCAGTTATATTAAGGGCTTTCATGCTCGCAGAAGGGTGGCTGCGGATGATGGTTCTCAAGGCAGAGATCGTTAGCCTTTTAACGCTACTCCGCAGCTAAACGTTAACAATCCAGTTTTATATGCCATTGTTTCTGGGGCCCCCCTTCTTCCCTCACCCCGTCCCCGGTAATTTTCGGCATCCATCACTACTAACCCGTATACTTAACCGGGCATACCGTATTACGAGAGATTAATGGTTTTTGGCGATGAAAAAAATTGATAAATCCGATCTAGTAACATGTTAACCATTAATAATAACAAGCGAAGAGCTGGAAACACTCGATTCTAACACTATGAATATGGGAAAGTTAAAAAATCATATTTTATATCCGAGGAACTTTCGAATGAAGTTATTATAGAATAGCACGAGGCAACACGATACGATGTTGAAAAATTGGGGATACGATACCGTTGAAATAAGTTGTGACGACAGTGCGAAGGTAAAAGAAGCGTCGAAGGAAATAAGAATGGATATACTTGGAAAACTTATCTTATAATGTAAAAAATTGAATGATTTTAACACTAAATAACACTCAGTAGAAAGTATTTATTCACATTCATAAGCGTAACAAACACTTTACCTAAAAGTGGTTGGAATTTAAAATATGAAGGAGTAGAAGGGTCACCCTAAGTTATTAAAAAATAAACCCGCAATTCTAGCTTTAAACTGGGAATTCATATTTCCGACTTTGAATTAGAAATTCCGTTTTAAAACCGGTAATTTCGACTTTGAACTCGATTTTATTTTTAAATTCGGAATTCTGACTTTAAACTTGGGATACCTATTTTTAATTCGAGCTTGAAATCCCGCTTTGAAAAATGGCATTTGTTCTGCCTTTGAACTCGGGATTGCCAATTTAAACTTGGCATTTTAACTATACATTCGCAATGTCGATTTTAAACACAGTTCTCACTTTGAACTGGGGGTTCCCGCTTCAATTTTGGAATTCTTATTGAATTCGGGATTGCGATTTTGACTTGGAATTTCGACTTTAAACTTGGGATTTCCAATTTGAACTCGAAATTACGACTTTAAAGAAGGTATTCCTACTTTGAAGTCGAGATTGATAATTTAAATTTGGCATTCTGACTATAAACTTGGGATTCCTATTTCGAACTCGGGATTTCAACTTTAAATGACGAATTCCCACTTGGGATTCCTTTTTGATATGGGAATCCCGACATTAAAAACGGAGTTCTGATTTTGAAACCTGAATTGTAATTTTAAACTTGACATACTCTCTATAAACTCAAGAGTTCTGATTTTGGACTCGGAATTTCCACTTTTATTCTGATTTTAAAATCGGGGTTTCGACTTTCAAGTCAAAATTCTGACTGTATTGGGGATTGCGACGTAGATCTCTGCATTCTGACTATAAATTCGGTTTTGAATTCAGAATTCCTTCTTTGAACTCGGGGTTCCGATTTTCAATTTGTAATTCCTAATTTAAACTCAGAACGCCCACTTTGAAGTCGAAATTCTGACTTTGAACTCGGGATTGCAACTTTAAACTCGGAATTTCCACTTTAAACTCGAAATTCCGGCATTAGACTACGAATTCCGTCTTTAAACATGGCATTCTTACTTTAAAAACAAAATTTTATATTTGAACTCGAGATTGCTATTTGGCATTCTGACTATAAATTCGGAGTTACGATTTTAAATTCGGAATTCCTACTTTGAACTCGGCATTGGTAATTTAAACTTGGCATTCTGACTAAACTCGCAGTTTCTATTTCAAACTCTGAATTCCCGCTTTAAACTTGGGATTCCTATATCGAACTCGGATTTCTACTTTAAACGGCGATTTCGCACTTGGGATTCCTTTTCCGACTTTAAAAACGAGATTATGATTTTGAAATCTGAATTGTGGTATGTCATTTTGTCTATAAACTAATAGTTCCGATTTTAAACTCGGAATTTTCATTTTAAACTCGGGATTTCGACTTTCAAGTCAAAATTCTGACTTATTTGGGGATTGCGACGTTGAACTCTACAATCTGACTATAAATTCAAGGTTTCAGTTTTGAATTCAGAATTCCTACTTTGAACTCGGGGTTCTGACTTTCAATTTGGAATTCCCTTCTTTAACTTCTGACTTTCTAATTTCAACTCAGAATGCCCACTATGAAGTCGAAATTCTGACTTTCAATTTGGGATTGCAACTTTGAACTCGGAATTTTCACTTTAAACTCGAGATTCCGGCTTTATACTACGAATTCCGACTTTAAACATGGCATTCCTACTTTAAAAACAAAATTCTAAATTTGATTTCGAACTTTGAACTCTGAAAATCTATAGGAATTTCGGCTTTAAAGTTAGAATTCTGACCTTGAACTTGAAGTTGCAACTTTGCACTCAAAATTCCGACTTAGGTAAAGTCAGAATTACGACTTAGAATTCGAAATACAAGATTGCCATTTTCTATCTCTGAATATGGTTTTTTTTTCTTAAAATCGGTTAAATCAACAAAGTTTCATAGTACTTTTATAGAAAATTCATTGCTATTTTGAGTTATCTTTTTAGTTTTGAATTATCCCGAAAAAATTGTCAATTTCATTTATTTTAAATAATCATTAAATCTATAAGTAAAGTAAAGACTTGAATATAATGGTACCGAAACAGAAGATACGAAACGCCATTTTAAATAAAAGGTCCGAAAAAGTTACAAAACGATAAATATGCGCCGCAAAAACAAATCTTCTTAAATAGATCAAAGGGGAATTTCGAGTTTGTTTTAAATAAATTAGAGCGGCCCCTCATATGTTCTCCTAGTTAAAAAAATAACTGTTATTGGCTTCGTAATGTCGATTTTTAATTTTAACTGTTATTGGCAGCAGGCACAATGGGTGACATCATAAATTCTACATCAGAATATAATACGCTGAACCCACGCCTGCATATCGTCTAGAAACTGGGAAATAACACTCATCGAATATGAAATGTACATCTTGTACATTCCCACTTTACATTAAAAAATGGCTTGAAGATGATCCCAGATAGCATTAAAGGTTCAATGTATATACCTCACAAGTTCATGATATGAAAATAATTTAATGTATATTCCTGGTATGTGCATATAACCTCCGATATTGAACATTTCCCATATGTATTTACTAAGAACATATCCAAGAGGTATGTCTTTACATGTATATTCTATGAATATAGCAATTGAGGTACGTTCTGGATATTCCTTACATGTACTTACGATAAATGTACACAAAAGGTATATATTTTTAGGTACATTTTTGGAATCAACATATTTATGTAATACGTACGTAAGGGGGGCGGGACGTTTCGTTTCAGTCACATTTTCACAGTTTATTAAGCTGTGACATTTTACTAAAAGGAAAAAGTGGTGTTTTACTTGTTATCAGTCTAAACACAGAATATTAAATGAAAAAGAGTAATTCTAATTACGTTTTAAAAGAAAGTTAACGAAACGACATTCTCAAGGTCATATATATTGTTACAGTGTAAAAATAATAAAAATATGATAAAAACGGCCCCATACTTTTCTGGAAATACTTACATTAAACAATCAAAAATTCATTACCAAATATTAAATAACACCTAAAACATCTTTCATCGTGTTAGTGGTTTTATATAACATATATTAAAGGAAGTTTATTGTAGATTAGGTTTTGTAATATTTGAATTTGCCACTGTCCTGGATTCTAGATTCTTATTTGTTAACTTTGCTAAAGTTCGTCTGTCTGCTGTGATTGGTGCATTTTAATAAAAATAATCATCATCAGCTTCATGATTGGTACAATTTTTATGGCGTTATGCGACAGTGTAGCCAGATTTAGAATTAGCATGCGTTCTGAATTCTTAATTTTTGTCGATGTAAAGTCGGAGCAAAATAACCAAAAAAATTATGGTAGAGGCTTTGTATTTGTATATATATATTAAATATTATGTTACGAAATAGTCTTAGGTAAAAATCACGTCACTATTTGCTTTAGGGACTTGCAGATATTTTAAGTGATTCTTGCTGAACGTACCTCTTTATAAAAATCTAGCAACACTGTCAAGCTCCGACCGGCGGTTGGCGCCAACTACCGGCTTGCCACGCCAATCACGCTATGATCGCCACGATTATGAGTCACATAGACACAAGTAGATAAGCACAAGTAAGTGTTGCCTGAATAATTAATAACAATTAACAAGGTAAGTTTATGATTTTGTTAACAAACATTTAACAATAAAAATTTGTAGCATGTCGAAACCTTTCAATAAAGAAGGAAGTGGTAAAAAGTATTTGAAAAGGAAAGTTCAAAATAGGGTAAATTGTTTATTAGCTTCATACAATCATAATAGTCAAAATAACTGTATGAGCCTACCTTCAGCACTTCATGTGAATTCACTCCAACCTATAGCAGTTTCACAAAGTTCAGCATGTGATTTAAATTGTATAAGTAATGATGGGATTAATTCAGAAATTCTATTGAACACACAAGATACTCTTCAGCTTTGTCAACCAATAGAGCCATTAAATTATGACTCTTCCGATGATATTTCTACTCGTATTTCCGATTTTTCTTTAGAATTAGCTAAATGGGCTGTACAAGAAAATGTACCACTTTCTACTTTGGGTAAACTATTAATATTACTAAAAGGAGATTATCCTGGAACACAATTAAAAAGTTTACCGAAAGACCCCAGAAGCCTTTTACGTACTCCCACCGTAACTGATTTAAGACAATTAGGAACTAATGGCTGTTATTATTACTTTGGAATACACGAAAGCTTAATGAATCTGTGTAACAAATCTGTAAAACTATCATCAACAGATATGTTTTCTATTGCTGTCAATATTGATGGAGTGCCTTTATTTAAAAGCTCTAATGAATCTTTTTGGCCTATATTATGTATGGTAAAATCAATTAAGGTATTAGATAAAAAAGTGTTTTGTGTGGGTCTTTATAAAGGTGTCGGAAAACCAGAAGCCAATGAATTTTTAACAGATTTTGTTAATGAATGTATTCATTTAGTTAATAATGGTCTTTTGATAAATTCACAAAAATATAAGTTCCGGGTTTCAATGCTGATCTGTGATGTACCTGCTAAAGCATATGTTTTGTACATAAAAAGTCACTCTGCTTTTTTTTCTTGTACTAAATGTTGCTTGGAAGGAGATCTGCATAAAAATGTCTTATGTTTTTTAAACACAAATTTTCAACAGAGAACAGACTTTTCTTTTAGAAACCGATCACAATCTGAACATCATACTGGAAAAAGTTTAATAGAAAACATACCTGATTTTAATATGATCAATAATGTTCCAATTGATTACATGCACTGTATTTTGTTAGGAGTAGTAAAGAGATTATTATGTAATAAAAGATATGGTTGGGTTTATGGTAAACCGCCCCATAAACTTCGTGCTTCAGACATTAATTCGATAAGTAATGAGCTACTAAAATTAAAAAAGTTTATACCAAGAGAATTTGCCCGCAAACCAAGATCTTTAATTGAATGTAAAAGATATAAAGCAGCAGAATTTAGACTCCTCCTATTATACACTGGTTTAATAGTTTTTAGGAAAGTATTACCATCTAAAATTTATAATAATTTTGTTTGCCTTAGTATAGCTACTCTTATATTAGTTAGTAAAGAATTTTCAGCCAATAATATTTTTGTGGACTATGCAAATGATTTATATAAACATTTTATACTCAATTCAATACAAATTTACGGTCCAGATTTTATATCGCACAATGTTCATAATCTTCTACATTTGTCAGAATGTGTAAAACTTTTTGGTTGCCTTGACAGTTTCAGTGCTTTTCCATTTGAAAATTTTATGCCACAATTAATAAAAAAAGTACGAAAAGTTGCTATGCCTCTTCAGCAAGTTGTTCGAAGAACAATTGAACAAAGACAGCTAGGGCCGTTGGAGTTAAACCCCAGTAATAGTAATAGAACTAAATTTCTTATTAAACATTATTCTGGACCATTATTGCAAAACTGTAATTCTCCTCAATATAAAGCTATGCAAACAAATGAATATTTTTTAAATGTGAGCAAGGTATGTGACCGATTTGTGGAACTTAAGGATGGAAACATTGTTGAGATTAAAAACTTTGCTACATATCAAGCGTCTGTGGTCATTATAGGATTAATATATAAGAAATCAGAAAGTTTCTTAAAAAAACCTTGTAATTCTTCTCATTTTGGCATTAATTTCATTTCTAAAATTGACAATGTACAATATAGTTTTCCAGTAACCTCAATTTCGAAAAAAGTGATGGTTTTACCATACAAAAATAAATTAGTTTCATTTCCATTACTACATCTGTAATGGTTTAATTTTCTAAGTAGATAGTAATGTTTTTTTTCTCATATTGTGTGATTATTTTTATATTTGTTATTCTTTTTGGACTTCAGTTAAGTAATTTTTGTAAACAAAATTTAGCTTTTAATCGTACTAACAGTTCTTGAAATCATGGGTTGGGCTGTTATAAAATTCACCAATGAAAATGCAGTAGAAGTGGTACCTACAAAATGGTTTGTACGTTCTTCTAAGGAATGCTTTTGGCCTCCAACGCATACAAAAAAATCTAAAATCATAGATTTCATTAAAATTGGACAGGATCCGGGAGTAGAATGGAAAGCATATCCAGCAATGTTGATGGGCGAATATGGTAAGTTTTTTCTTTGGTCTATTGCCATGGTCAAAAAATAATATAGTTATTAATATATTTTTCATGGTGAATTATAAATTATTAAGGATGTAACTCCTATAGTGATTTATACCTCTACTTAGGTTGTACGAATATCAAAAGCAATGTAACAATAAAAAAACAATTGGATGATATAAATTTTAGTTATCTTTTCACATATTTCACTGTTAACCGTAGTTTTTTTAATTAACATTATTATAATACATAACGTTTCAGATGACTTCAACATTGCCCAAAGAAAAGCGACAAAGGCGCAAGATACAGATGAATTAACTTCAGCTGCGGAGAGTTTTATTAAAGGTAGAGGTTATAGAAAGCCACAAAGAAATAGAAGGTATAATGATTCTGATTCAAACTCGTCAGGTGACGAATCGCCTGATGATAACATCTATCCTATACTAAGAAAAGATATAGCAGGTGAGAACTTAATAGAAAATTGTTAATTTTTGTTAGAGATCTCTTTGCACAAGGAAAACTGAATTAAATAATTTTAGTACGTAAATCAGAAGCTTTGTTAACTAAATCAAGCAGCTCAGCATGTGATGCACCAGTAAAGAGAAGTGAAACATTACATACATCTGATTTTTTGGATTTGCAACAAAATTATGAAGACTTGGAAAAGACATCATCTCATAACAAGTATGGACAAAATCAACATAGACGTGAAAGTGTTTCCACATTGGAACGGCAGACAAGTGTGCTTATTTCTCAAAATAAATTGATTGATGCTGCTGATGAAGAAACTACTTCCATTAGGACTGAGTCGTCACAGAGTAAGTTGAATTATATGTATATGTATAATTGAAATTACTGTTCAAATGTAGAGAGAAAAGTCAAAAGAATGATGGTGAGGTATGCAGCATTGCGTATCTATCCCACTATCTTTTGTTTCATTTGCTGACTTGTCTATATTTGGATAGTAATTTCAGTTTCAATTCTATATAAATATATATATTATGTTTTTCCTGTGATTTAATTTTTAGGCTCATCAACTAATATTCCAAGACATACAGTACCAAATGACGTAGGTAAGATAAAACTGTTGCAAATACTACTGTGTTGACATAAATTTTCGACATTAAAGGAATTTAATAATGTATGTTTTAGATTTTAAAAGGATTATTCTCAGTGAAATAAGTTTGTTAAACTTGAANTACGAAATTGTTCGTCTCTGTGCAAAACATTAAGTTCGGTTTTCAACCTATCTATTTTAAAAACGTTTGGATACAGTTGTAATAAACATTCAAACGATTTTTCGGGAAATCTGTTTGCATATTCGGAAAATTTTGAAGAATCTATTAAAGCAAAAAATTTAAATCATATAAATTCTCAAAGCGAGTAGGTACTTAAGGGGAAATATATTTCGAAAATATTTCTAATTCGTCGCAACTTTTGTCCCGTTTACTTGGTAGTCCAGTAATATTTTTCGCATAATTAAAAATATTTTTAAATTTTTCTTCGTTTCTTAATTCAGAAATTCTTTGACTAGTGATTTTAATTTGTTTAGAACAGTAGTTTACGTCATAAAAAAGCCGTTTCAAGAGATAAAACAATATTGTGAGATAGTTTCATTATTTGCTAATATAATAAGGATCTATTAAATTACGTTAAATTTAGCCTTACTTTGTTTTGTCGTAAGGTAGTTGTTTTTTATTTACTTTAAATGAATACCTGCCTTGTCCTTATCCTTAAAGCCTTTGTACTATCCCTTACACTGACATCAGACACTGTCCGCGTACTATGAGACACGTACATTAACCCCGAACTAAAAGACTGAAACTATAAGCAGCTTTGAGCCGGCCTCAGTTCCCTCTTAAATCACGTTATTTTAACCGCCTCGCGTGGAGGGGAACTGTAGCGTATTGTAGGCAAATGACGAGCCTACAAGCAAAGAATTTCTGGCTTCACTATGGTGGGGACTAGTGGGGAGTATTCAATATTCAAACAATTATTTTATACTGTTATTTTGATTTTTGATAAATGTAATGGGTAATTGGAATTTAGTTTACCTAACTATTTATTTAGGTTAATAGTAGAATAGTAGATATTAAAATATACGGTGTGAGAGCCAAATTTTACATTGAGGCCCTGCCTCAGTTGCTTCATATGACGAGCCGTCACTGGTACATACTATTACCAATATACCTCGTGTCCCATTTTAATCGATTATGTGAATATCTCGTCAGTAAAGCCTCCGATCCAAAAATGACCTAAATGAAAGTTGTTCAGTTCATTGGGGGAAAACGGTTACTAACCTTGAATTTGACCTTAACCTGACCTTGAAGGTCAATTGAAGGTCAACTTCATAATTTTAAATTTGATCCTTTCTTTTTTACACTGGGAATGGATTCGGCTGAAAATTTTACATCCGGATGTGATTTCAACTTTGACCTTGCTGTCAAGGTCAAGGTTAAAATTATCATTTGATAACCCTCACATTAATTTTTAAAACAGTTTACTGAATATTACGTCGTTATGGCATACCTTTCCCTATAAGATCGACGGTTAATTATTTCTTAGGTTTGCCAATTAATTATTGAAGATTTAAAGAAACTTCGTGACCTTTATATAATTTAATACGCATAAAGATTAAGCCATAACATTTTGCCACAAAAAAACGAACGTAGGAACGAGAACACCTTAGGCATATCTTCATACAAATAGTTGTACGAATTTTACGTAACCGCTTTTGTTTCCTTATCTTTTCATTCACTGTCGCAGTGAACGACGTGGACGAGCAGTTCGATACGTACTGAGGTACACGTGTTGGTGCCGCTAGAACAGTTATTCGATTTAATGTCGAAGCGATGGATATTTTATGGATACAAAAATTGACGCAAATATGCCCTTCGTCGTTTTATTGACTTTTATTTGACAAGCTACAGCTGCTGTAAGTAGCGACATTAAATCATTAAAAGTGACCGTTTCGGAGGGGTGGAACCAGTAGAAGTCTACGGGGTGGATCAAATTTCATCCCCAGTATGGTGAAAGCGGAAAACTATTATTAGATGATACAACACTGAGACATACATAAAGTAAATATTCTATACAGTAAAAAAGTCGGTGTGAGTGAAAGCAATAAAGGTACGGAGTGAATCGATTCTCAATATTGAGCATTTTGATAATTTTACTTATTTGTGATAATATTTGAACTAAAACTTGAGTACTTTCACTCAAATGTAGGTACCCGTTAAATAAATTCTCCAGATAAACTCGTATTTGGTACCTAAATCGAAGTAAATGTCCTCATTATTGAGTGACCCTACTTCATTATATGGTTGTCGTGCGTTGTCTTTGTCTATTCCTATCTTCCTCATTAGGTCATATCGTGGCGTGGTGACAAATGCAGTGGTTTGATCACAATAACAAAAAACAATAATATATCGAGTCTCGATTAATATTAGGTTAAATAAATGGATAGTTAAATTGTTACCTATACTTACTTACGTACCTGTAACGTATAATATAGGTTATGGCAATCTATTCGTCCGATCGTTAACCAATTCCTTTAATGGAGACTAAAATATTGTCTCTAAAACAGACTTGTGTAGAAACCACTGTGGCAGCTTAGTAGTCTATGACTAATACAATATTCAAATTTAAATTTAAAGAGAATATAAACCAAGTCTGAGTACAAAATTACTCAATAATAGTTAAATTTAGAGAAAAAGTCAACTCTTAATTGGTTTTACATACTCAGAATAGAGTCAAAAGTCACTCACTTAGCAGTTAGCAGAAACTCGGATTTGAGTAAAATTTCAGTCATTTCTGTTGCAATAGTTTCCCTCACAAAATTTTAGTTGTACTCATACTAATAGAGTCAATATTTTACTCAATCGGGTGCGGACAGAAATTGACACATTATTGTGTAAAATTGAGTGAGCAGTGTAAAATATACAATATATTAAAGGTCCAAACTACTTGTAAATTTTGGAGCCATTCGAACTCACATATTTGAGTGAAATTGAGTGAGCAGTGTAAAATATACAATATATTAAAGGTCCAAACTACTTGTAAATTTCAGAGCCATTCGAACTCACATATTCTATTTTATATATAAAACGACCAAATTTTACCCATGTTTCCAATCCAAAAAAGCTCGAAAAAGCTCTAAAATCACTCAACAGAGTAATATATAACCGAAGATGTCGAGCCTCTCACACAAACCACCCACATCGCCAAGAAAATCGCGGATGTTTCGAGTTTTCTTTAAATCATCGGCAACCATCAAACGCACTATCCAACGATGAAATTAACGAAATAAGCAGCACCAGGAAAGGAGAAATCCCTCCGTTCCAAAAGCGTCCGAAGTGCGATCAAGAGGTGCGATTGTACGTCGACCCTTGTTATCCGCAGATCATTAACTAAGACCAAGTGCCTGGTTAGAACGCGTTATATTAGCAAAGCTTTCATTATTATTGCATTGTATATAGTCTGTACTATACTCTAACTAAACCAATATTATACACAAATATTCAATACAAATTTTTCATCCCACAACCACTCGTAACTACCCCCAACGAACAAAAACACCACCATCGTGATCCCCGTCGTTTCCGGTTTTTTGGTGATTTCGATATTGCGAGCAGGGTAGTTTTAACCCTGGAGTTTGCCAAGGTCAACTGTACTTTAGAAATATGTACTTAAAAACTGGAAATTGGGGTTGTTTCTCCAGGATGGGGGTAGTATGCAAGGATTTCAGTCTACTACAACTACCCCAAGTTTAATCAATCTACCTAAAAACATTTTTAAATCCCAA